TTGTATCCTCTCACCATACTTACTCAATCTGTGCTGAGTAAGTAGTCAGAGAAGCTGGATTAGAGGAAGAAGAAAGTGGGGTGAGGACTGGAGGAAGACTTGTTAACCCCCTGCACTATGCACACCTGGCTCACTGAACGTCTTACTGAGATCAGGGATTGCAGCACTCAGTATGGATTGCAGCTTAATCTAAAGAAACCAAAGCCCTCCCAACTGGACCAACAGGTAACGCTATCTACTTTGAGGAGGGCGGCTCTTTCCATCGGGATTTGAGTGCCTTCCAAGCCGAGTCCTTCCCCGATGGTATTTTCAGTGCCTTTCAGCCGGAGCTTCTCACCTTTATTCCCACCTGAGAGGTCATCTCCCACCACTGTCTCAGACCCCGTTCTGCTAGTATTCATAAGGTTGATTTCTCAGAAGGGGACAACCTAATCCTTCTTCCTAACCAGCTCTTAGTTCAGAAGCTCTGGTGAAGCCAGTTCATCGTGGGTGACTGCCCTCCTGGCATCACAATGCTGGTGGTGTAGCGTCTAGCAGCACAGCAACACAAAAGCCACCACATTACAATACACTGATAGATGAGTGGGGCACCCATGGGTAGCATTCTTGAAAACAAAGAAAAAACATTTTTTCCCCGACTGTAGAAGTACTATATAAAGATAGCACCAGACCAGACTACGCTTCATTCTGTTGTACACAGGGTCGCCAAGAGTCGGAACTAACTCCGTGGCACCTAACATCTCCTTTAAGAAGAACGTTTGTAGACATATGTATGTGTCCATGTTGTATGTGTGTGGGAGCTGAGATTCAAATCCACATTCTTAACCACCACCCTGTGCTCCCTTGCCATAAGTTTGGTGTAATTGTGAGAGTACTTTTTCTATTGAAATCTCCTTAGTAACTTAGCCCACAATGCCCACGTATGCATAATGGGATTTTGTTCCCCTTGGAGGGAAGGGCAGTGCAGGGTGGAAGACCAGAGAAGTTTAATGTTAAGGAGGAGCATACTCGTTTTGTTCTTCTCTAATCTGTTTTTCACCAATTAATCTTTTGTCACTTTATATTGCTACTCAAGTTTTTTTTTTCATATATGTGAACAAATCACCCGAGAAACAGGACTATATGAAGAAGAATTTGGCTTAGGATCGGAGGAAGACTTATTAACAACCTGCAATATGCAGATGGCACAACCGTGCTTGCTTGAAAGTGAGGAGGACTTGAAGCACTTAACTGATGAAGCTCGTACTTCAGTATGGATTGCAATGCAATGTAAAGAAACCAACATCCTCACAACTGGACCAACAGATACCATCATGAGAGACGAAGGAACATTGAAATTGTCAAGGCGTTCGTCATACTTGGATCCACAATCAGTGCATGGAAGCAGCCGTCAAGAGACCAAAGGATGCACTGCCTTTGGCAAATTTGCTGTAGAAGACCTATTCAGAGTGTTGAAAGCAGAGCGGTTACTTAGAGGACTAAGGTGGGCATGACCCAAGCCATGATTTTTCCGATTGCCTCATATGAATGTGAACGTTGGACTCTGAATAAGGAAAACCAGAGAAGAATCAGTGGGTTTGAAATGTGGTGCTGGAGAAGAATACTCAAAGCACCATGGACCGCCAAAAGAACAAACGAATCTGTTTTGGAAGACGTAGGGCCAGAGTGCTCCTTCGAGGCAAGGATGCAAGACTTGGCTCATGTATCGAGGCGTGTTGTCAGGAGAGACCAGCCCCCAGAGCAGGACGTCGGGCTTAGTAAAGGAGAGAGAGGGCCGGTGAAACGGAAGAAAGCCCTCAACAAGACTGGTGGACACAGCAGCACAGCGGGGTCGAGCCTGACAGTAGTGAGGACGGCCTGGGAGCAGACAGTGTCCCCTTCTGTTGGACAGAGGGTCACGTGCGTCGGAAGCGATTGGATGGCCCCTAACAACAACAGATGCATACAGATATCTAGATAGTCCCAGCTTCCAACAAAATGAGAGGCCCGTCAGGTGAACCATAAGACCAAGGCTGTAATAACCCTTAAGATTGCTCAAAAGAAAGCACACCGTTACATACATACAAAGTACATACAAGTTTTATGTAGAGAGAGAAACTTTTTTGGATTTACAGAAAATTTGAACAGATAGTACGGAGTCCCCCCTACACACTAGTACAGTTTCCCCCTAGTAGTAACGTCTTGCATTAGCAGAGCACCTGTGTCGCAGCTAGTGAACCAATAGCGGTACTTTGTTATTAACGAAGGTTCATGGGTAGTTGAGTCAGGTTTCCTT